CTCCCGAACCTCCGAAAGCAAGTTTTTTCCAAGGCCTTTTTGGTGGTGGAGCACGACAAATCGACAGAGAAGAACTTTGTAAATTATTATTATTATTATTATTATTATTATTATTATATTGTTGTCGTTTTAAAATTCAAGTGGTTAAAATTAACCCAATTTTGATATTTTAGTCGGTGAAAGTAGCGGTAAACCATCTCGAAGCGTTGCCAAACACATTCCAGGACCGTCAGCTAATATCGAAGCTGCTGGAAGACAAGTAACTGCAGTGGGTGGAGAAATTTCCAGAGCTCATAAATTGGCCGTGGAACGTGGTGAAAAATTAGGAGAATTAGAAGAAAGAACTCAAAAAATGATGAACGAAGCTGAAAATTTTTCTAATTCGGCTCATGCTCTCATGTTGAAATACAAAGATAAAAAATGGTATCAATTGTAAAAACAAAAAATTTATGCAAAACTTATTTATTTATTTATTATTATTATTATTATTATTAACATTTTCATTATTTACTTTATTATTTATTGTCGGTTTTGTTTTGTTGGAAAAAAGAAGAAAATTTCTATTAATTGTTTTTTTTTTTTTTTTTTAAATAATTTTAGAATTTATAAGCTTTTAGAAGTCGAGAGCTCTTAGGTAGATAGATAATCGAATGCGTTGGAATATTATAAGGATATGATAATTTTAAAAAACAAAAGAAAATAATAATAATAATAGTAATAGTAATAAATATAATAATAATAGTAATAATAATTTTCTTACTGATGAATTCATTTATTAATTATTTAATGCCAACATAATCGATTAGAACGAGTATCGTTTTTATTCTCTATGATATTCGATTTAAAAAAAAAAAGCCATAGAGGATAAAAATAAAATAATTGATGAATATTATCTGAAATGTAAATTTTTGTACAAAATGATTGACAGTATTTTGTTGTTGGCCATTAGGTTTAAGTATTACATTAATTATCATTTATCTTTTCTCTCTCTCTCTCTCTCTCTCTCTCTTACGTTTACCCGAGTATCTTCTCTCTTTTTTTTTTTTTTTTTAAATTTAATACAATTTATTAATAATTGAGTTTTGAAAAATTTAAATAAATTATTAATTAATTTAATAAAACTTGAATTTTCTCTTTTATTAATGATAGCCTTAATATTTATTAAATTATATTAAAAATTGATAAATTATTAACTATAATTATTAATTAATATTACTGAAATAAATATATATATATATTTACAAATAAAAAAAATTTATATATAAAGAATTCGCTTTGAATTCGTTTCTAATATAAAATAATAATAATAAATGTTTGAAATAATAATATTAATAATAATAAAATGGAAATTTATATAAATAAATAAATATATATATATATATATATATATATAAATAGTTAGAAATTCTTCAATTTATTGTATCGATAGCTGTGATAGATAGAAATTGAAACTAATTAATATTAATAATAATAATAATTTATTTGTTAAGTTTTTTTTTATTTTTTCCAATAAACTAATTGGAAAAAAAAAAAGTTTTTTATTATAAATTTTTAAATATGTTTTGTTTTTTATTTTAAAATATTTTATAAGAACGTTTATAATAATAATAATTATAATTATATAATTAATGGTAATAAGTGTTTGTTTAAAAAAAAAAAAGAAAAAAGTTATTATTATTACTTTTATTATTTTGTTAAAAGAAAGGTTAAATATTTGAATTGTAATTAAAAGTTATGATTTAGAGATAACAATAGATTTGTCATTTCGAGATATCGATCGATCGATCGATCCGTGTCGTTTTTTCTTTTGTTTACTTTTCGTTTTTGGCGCAAATTTTATTGACACGTTTAATAATTGATTATACGCGTACTTAAAAACCGTTAGTTTTTTTTCTTTGTTTTTCAAATCTTTAAAATTTATTTGTTGTGAGCGTAAGTTTTTTTCAATTTTTTTTACTTTTAATTATAATTTATAGATTTTGATTTGTTTTATTTTAAATTATAACGACACGGATTATCGTTTGATTAAAATAAATTTAATAAAATGGCGTCTTAAAGGGGTTTCAAATGAGTAGTTATTTGGTTTATGCGATTAGCTGTTTGACATTGGAATAGTCGATATTTAGAGTTTAGAATTGTTGAAATAAAAAAAAAAAAAAATTATTATTTATACAAAATATAATAATTATATTTATGTATTGTTTTCTTTGTACTCGATTAGTAAAACAAAACAAAAACATATAGATAGATAGATATATGAAAAAAATATAAATATAAAATTTTACCTTTTGCATATAATATTTCAAACGTTAATGAAATAAATATTTGTGAAAATATAAATTATATCCAATAATTTATTTTTATTTTTAAAATTCAAGGCCCATCAATTATTTGGGACCAGTTAAAACAAAAAAAAAAAAAAAAAATTTTTTTATTGAGTTAATTATTATAAATTACCATTTTTTTGCCAAATGATGGCATGATGAGGATAAACCTTTCAATATTTCCAATTATATTAGATTGCTTACGTTAGTAACAAAAAAAAAACAAAAAAATTTTAATGTAGGTAATATTATTTCATTTTAATAAAAAAAAAAAAAAAAAAGCTTACATAGATATTTTGAAAAAAATTTAATTTAGAGTCAACAAAATAAAATAAAATAAAAAATTTTTTTTATTTTAACGCATAAACCAGATGGAATAAAATAATAATAATAAAAGTTAAAATTAATTTTAATGTCGCATATTAATAATTTAAAAAAAAAATTAAATTATTGATATTATGAAATCGATATAAAAAGCACAAATTCAAATAAGATGGGAGATAAAAAAATTTAAATTTAAATAATAAAACTTTTATTATCCATATATATAATTATTTAATACAGATGATGATAATATTTATTAAAAATGATAATTTTGTGCATAGATTGTACTTACACACACACACATTTAATATATACCATTATTATTTATTAAGTAAATAAATTGTAAATGATATGTTTAAATAATAAAAAAAAAAATATATATATATATATATATATATACATATACAAATATATAATTACAAAAAATTTATTTAATTCATTCAAAAACAAAAAAAATTAAACAAATGGTTTAAATTTAAATTTGGCAGTCGATAATTTTAAAAAAAAATTTTAATTACATTTTGTTCATTACATACGAATAATAATTTAATTTCACAAAAAAATTTAATTAATAATAATAATAATATATATTTATTAATTTTGAATGATTATACCAAATTGAGAGAATTTTAAATTTTTACAAAAAATTTTTCATATTTTTTTGTTTTCCATAGTTATTAAGTTAATAAATAATTTTGATTTGTCACTAATTTAAATAATAATAATAATAATAATAATCTAAATAGACTAAATAATGATTAAATTAAGTAAAATTTATATAGTTAAAAATAGTTAAGTCTTTTCAAAAACAATACTGTTTTTTTACTCTGTGTATCCGAAAGAGAAAAAAAAAAAAAATTTTTTTTTTTTTTTAAATGTAAATTTAATCAATCCGTTTGCCAATCTGATACATCTGATAATTCATCTCTGCTAACACCAATACATTTGATTCCATTTTTTAATAATGGAGTTCCTTTTCCCGGTCCTAAAACTCTTGCTATGAACTCGATTGTTAAATTATCATTATTTTCCAGCGAAAGAGTTAGTTCTTCTTTTAATAGTCTTTCCTTATTGGCATGAAATTCGACAGTTATCTCATATGTGTTTTCTTTTTCACTTATATTTACTATTTTACAATTAACATTAGGTTCACTTTTTTCAGCCGCATCAAGTATCGATTCTAATTCATAACCCATAAAATAAAATTTTGGGATGTCTATTGAAATGCTGTATGTGTGTTGATATCTAAGAAATCCTAAACCAATTTGTACTTGGCCAGGTGAAGTTTGTCTTATTGTTATTGTATTGTCTTTGGGTACAAAATTTTCACTTCCAAAATTAACATGGCCTTTTTTTACCGTTGAAGCACACATTTTAAATCAACTTTTTCGATGGAACTATTAAAAATATTTAGGTTTTTAGGTCTTAATTAAATATTTGTTTTTGTTGTTTTTTATAACGTAAATGAAATAATTATATTACGGTAATTTCAAACAAACAACGTTAATAGCGTTTTATAACGTTTGATATAAGTTGTCACAAAGTGTCAAATGATAAGATATTTAATGAGATAATATTAATTAATTTTTAATTGTAAACATTCAACGTGTTTAATAAGACTTAACAAGTTTACATTACTTTTTGAAAGATGTCACTCGTGATAAACATGAAGCTGGGTTGTCATGACGACAACCAATCAGAATTCACTTTATTTAATTCCAATATGGCGGCGTGCATGTAACAAGAAAAATTGTCACTCGACACGTGTGTTAAAATGTTTGTACCGACTAGATCATCGTTATTAAAATCTCACGATGAAAAAAAGTGCGAAACTGTTGTATTTGAAAATAAAAAACCCAAAAAAGTTAGTGAAAATAAAATGGCGGTTGTCGACAGCGATAAAAAATTAATTTCTTCAAAAGGAAAATTAAATAAGGAAAAAAAAAATAAAGACAATTTAACGATGAAAAAATTACGTTACGACATAATTAAATTTGGTACTTCGGGTTTTTCGGGTGCTAAAAAAGAAGAATCGAAAGTTGCATTGGCTGTTTCTTTGGGTGCCGTACCTCCCAAACGTAAATATCTCAACTATAAAGAACTTGTTAAAATTAATTCAGAAGAAAAAAAAAAGAAAGAGGATGAGAATAATAAGACACAGAATAAGAATAAAAATAAGAAGAAAAAATTAAAAATTGTGAAAAAAAATAAAAACGATACTAAACAATTATTGGATGTTTATGGCAAAGTCAAAACATAAAATAAATCTTAAATATATATATTTTGTAAGTTCTTCGAACAATTTTTATTATTTAATTATGTATTAAAATGTTTTCCCTGACTGTATGCCAATAAAACAAATTTACTTTTAATCAGGTTTAAAACCAACAAACCTATTATTATTATTCTTTTAATAAATTTGTTTGATAAGAAAATTTTGTTTCGATTTAGGGTTTTATTTAAATAAACATGATTGTAAATAAAACAATAATAAATATATATTTAATGAATTTTTAAAAATAATTATAATATATATTTTTTTTTATTTATTTTGTATACAAAACATATGACTACAATAAAATTTTCTTTCTAACATTTTTTTTCTTTTTTTTTTTTTCAGCTACATTGCAGCTCATCATCAACTATTAATCGAACATCACTTGAGTCGGTGCAACTTCAAGCAATAGCTGACAAAATACAGTGAATCTATCTGCAAGACAAAAAATTAAACGTCAAGAAAGGTAAGTTTTTTTTAATTTTTTCGAATTAGAATAATGTCATAGAGAAAGAAAATGATTACCCATTATTTTACATCTAACACCGTAATGTACGAACGGTATGTAAAAAATTAAACCACCGACAATGAATAAAGCTGCGTACAAATATTCAATTTGTGGCACATCTATGATGGGCGCAACTATCAGGTACAATGATATCACCAATACCACGACGGGAATGATTATTGGCACCTGCAATAAAAATTTTACACTCGTTAAATTCATCCTTTGAGTATTAGGAGGTGTGTAAACGATCGACTTGTTTATCACCTTGTACGGTCTAGGGTGATCCGGTTTAGTGAATCTCATTACAATCAATGCTAACATGGCCCCCCCGTAAAATATCCACGCTGTAAAACTGAAGAAATCAATTAGGGAATCAATCGTTCCTGATAAAACCATGGCGATCGCTATTATCGACTGGAAACGAACGAAACATTTTATTATTATTATTATTATTATTATTATTATTATTATTATTATAGAATTTTTCATTCCGTAAGTTTAGTATATGACGACCCTTACGTGGAATATCAAACCCGGAGCCGGAGTGAATCTTCTTACGTGTACGTAACTCAATATGTTCATTAAATGACCTTCTCTACTCGCAGCAAAACATAGCCGACCAGCAGCAAATAACGTTCCGTTTGCTGAACCGAACGTTGATACGGTTACGGATAATGGAATGAGCCAGGCCATTACTCCCAATATTCTATTTCCAAAAGTCTAAAAAAAAGTTTAATAATAAGTTGTTTCAATGATAATCGTGGATCGCGAATTGAAATTTTCAATTTATATTTAATTTTTTTCTCACCACTGCCACAGCTTCGGATTCTATCATTTCCGCCGCCGACATTACGGCCAAATATGAAATGTTGATGAGAACGTAACACATTGTAACCAACGGTATGGCAATTATTATCGATCTTGGTAAATTTCTATAATTAAAAGAAATGAAAAAAAAAAAACATGTAAAAATTGTAAAGGACGATTGTTCTGTTTGTTTGTTTTTAATATTTTTGCAAGTACTCGTTTCTAATAAGTAAGAAAAGTTTTCCCATTAGTGTCGATTGGTTATCTTGTCATTACCTACGTTAAATACTTTTCGGTCATGTGAGGGAAACCGAGAGAGAGAGAGAGAGAGAGGTAAACTATCTTTCTCTCTCCTTTCCTTTGTAGATTTTCTTTAGTAGTAGTCGTGAAAGAGAGCGTCGGTCCTGTTCCAACTATCTGTCAGACAATGTTTACGCGTTTGGACAGAAAAAACAAAAGGTGATGATGACGTGTCAAAGGACGCGATTGAACATGAACCTTTTTCTTTCCTTTTCTTAATACTCACGTTGATGGATTTTTTATTTCTTCCGTGACGTAATTTAAATTGTTCCATCCGTCGTAAGCCCATAGACCCGTGTAAAAGGCTGTGGCAATGTTTCCAAATGAAAAAGTGCTTCCGTGAAAGACATTTTCTAAATGCTGAGTGTTTCCTTTAAAAAAAATTTAAATTTAATTTTTAAAGATTTTTTTTTTAACGCTTTGACGTTTCCCCCTGCCCCCTGCTGCCCCTCCCCCCTTCGTAATTCAATTTAATTTTTAATTCACCTTGAATTAATTTGTATAATCCTCCTAAAATAACAATCAAAATGGCTACCAGCTTAGCTGCGGTAAACACGTTTTGAACCCCTGTCGCTAAATTTACACTGTAGCAATTTATGAATAGAATTATAACTAAAAGCAATAAGAAAATGAAAGAGAGAAAAATTATTATTATTATTATTATTATTATTATTATTATTATTATTATTATTATTTTTGAGTTTTCGCAACAAAACGTACGTTACCGTTATTAAAAAATATCGTAGATGAATGCTTACCGATGGCCATGACGGAAACAACTTTAACTGCAATTTCCGGTGGATCGCACTCCGTCACGAAAGCTTCAACCGCGTATTTAGCAAAGCTCAAACAAATGATCGCCATTTGTGACGGTTTTAATACCAAAGTTGAAACCCAAGAAAATAAAAATGCCGGCATCGGACCAAACGCATCCATGAAATAAGCATATTCGGCACCCGAACTCGTGTTCATTGTTCCCAATTCGGCGTAGGCCAAAGCTCCTGAAATGAATAATTTTTTGTCAAATTTAAGAAAAAGGAAAAAAGGAAAAAAAAGGTTTTTCTCATTGCAAAAGTTAACTTACCCAGGAGTGAAAGGAATCCACACGCGACCCATATGAGAAAACTCATACCCACTGAACCGGTTCGAATCAATAGACCGGAAGGCGATACGAAAATTCCAGAACCTGAAAAATAATTTAATCATTTTCTTTTTTTCTTTTTTTTTTTTTTTTTTTATAAATTTTCATATTCAAATAACCCATCTAAATAAGTTCTATGAGTAACTGACCCACACGTTTTCACAACTTATTCCTCGAGGTATTTTCCTTTTTTTTTTCCTCAAGTAAATCTCAATTCGGATCACAAGAACAGACCACCTTAACGTATCCTGATGACCCCGGTCGTGGTGGTACCGTCTTTATGAAACGCGCGGGTTATTTTCACGAAAGTCAAAGGCGGGTTAAAGCGGCCCGTGAAACTTTTCCCTTCGGAAATCTTCCTGCGGATACCTTGTATTGAATTAGGCCGCTGCTGAAAAAATTTCGTCTAAGTTACCCATACCAGGGTCACACACAACTACCCTTCGAGAAATCCTCAATTTTTTTTTGTGTCAAATTCATCATCATTTACATGAGTGGGGGGACGAGGGGGGGGGAGTAAAATTTTTGTGGATAATTAGCGATTTTGTATTTTTTGTTTTTTTAATTTCAGGGTATCCAACGGTGTTGTGTTAACTTAACGACGACTTTTAAGTCCTCCCAAAAGAAATAATAATAATAATGATAATGATAATAATAGGCTCACCTATCATTGTGCCAACAATTAGAGCCACCCCACTGAAGAGTCCCAACCGTCTCTTGAGGTGAACAGCGTCGTTCTTAATTGTATCCGACCCCTCCAGCTTGTCTCCCCCTGTGACGGCCACTTCAGAGAGCGAATCCGTTTCGCATCCGTCTCCTGAGTCTGGAACCACGGAGCTCCCATTGCCTGCATGCTTGGGCTTGGTGGAACTCCGCCATTGGAGTCCTTTATTGGTGACATGATTTTCTAAAATAATAATAATAATAATAATGATTGTATATATATATATATATATATATATATATATATATATATATATATGGAAGAGTAAAAAACGAGTGGAAATCCTTTAATCTTAAGGCGAAAAAAATTTTTTTTTTTTCAATAAGTTTCATTGATCGTTTGACCTAAATAATTTTTGCCACGTTTTATATATTTTTTATATATATAATATAAAAAGACATTTTCAAAAATAAAAAATATTTATTATCATTGTTATTATTATTATTATTATTATTTGGATAATTTTCATTAATGTTCATTGTTATACTTCCTGTTTGTTATTTTTTTTTTTTTTGTTTTCTGCTTCATTAAATTTAATTTTGAACGAAACTGTGAAAACTTTAACAAAACAAAAGCCAAAAAGTAAAAAAAAAAAAAATTTGCCCGTGAGTTAATTACATTTTTTGTTTTTTTGTGTGTTTTTTTACTCTATGGAATAAAAATTGAAAATTTTTACGATGCAAAATAAACAATACATAATACAGGTAAATATATATCACTGGAGTTAAAAATAAAATGGTTTTGATGGTGGACAAAACAAAAAATTCACTTGCTCTCTTTATTTATTTTGAATTCGTGCCCATTTTGTGTTTATTAATGTCTCTTTTAATAAAAATTTACGTTTTGTTTTTCTTGTTCTTGTTCTTCAATTTTCATTTTGAAAAAATTACATTTTATGAAATTGCTCGACATATTTTTTTTTTTATATTCATTATCCTCGTTATTTTTAATAATCTAAAAAAAAAAAAAAGAAAACGTGCGTTCGTTTTGTATTTCATTAATGAAAAAATCGTAGTAGTATTAATAATGATGATGGTGATGGTGGTGGTGGTGATGGTAATAATAATAATAATAATAATAATAATAATAATAATAAACGTCAATTGACTCTCACGTTGAGAATTTTCTATTTTTGTATAAAAGCATGTGTGTGTGTGTGTGTGTGTATAAATGAAAAACAAAATGAAAATTGATAGAGTTCACCCTTTTATTGATCGTCCAACGTTCATCTCATAGGAAAATTTAGGCGCATGTCTAGAGAAAGTGTTTTTTTCCTCATTTCTTTTTTTTTTTTTTTTTAAATTTACACGTTCGTGACGACGTTCACGTAATCGACACAAAATAAACGTCAGAACACAAGCAAATTTATTATTATTATCATTATCCCTTATTCAAACACTCCAACTAAAATAATTTTTATTACGCATTAATAAATTGAATTGAATTAACGAATTCTTAATAATAATAATAATAACACGAGTAAATTTATTAAAATTTAATATATTAAATTTGTAATAATTACCGTTAATTATATTATTCTCGTGTGTCTTTAAAACATTTCACATTGATTTATTACAATTTTAAAAATAATTTACGCGTAAATAAATTTGATATTTTAATTTGAATCCATCGGTTGACCGTTACACAACAATCGTTCGTTCGTTCTTTTTTTTTGAAAACTCGCTTATCGCGATTATGATCTAGATGTTTGTCACGAGTACCAACTTAAATTTTTACGTCGAGATCACGTATGTTAATAAAAAATAAGTTGGTACCTCGTTAATTACAATTTCAAATTTAACGAATGGAATGAATATGGCAAGTACGTTATTTTTTCTGCGTTCTTAATAATTATTTGTTTTATTATATTTTTAAAGTCATTTTAATAAAAGTTATTCGATATAATTAAACTTCGATCGGTTATTTATATTACGCCATTGCGTGAAATTAAATTTTTGAATAATTTAATGCGTGTTTATCGATTAAATTTAAATGCCAATTTTCAAAATGACCAAGTTTTTATTTATTTTTTTTTTGAAAGTTATACTTGATAATTATTGATGTTTATTGCAAATAAGTTTTTTTCGTGTCGATTACATACGTAATTTATATTCAAACATTAATAAAAATAATAAAAAAAAAGTTTTTTTTTTAAATGTCATTCTAATTGTGGTAATTTCTATTAACTTCATATGACATTGTGAACCTCACATTGACATTTTATATATTGTAAAAGAATGAATTGCAAAAAAAAAAAAAAAAAAAAACAATTACAATTACTTTAATTCATTACTTTGTATTGATGTGTAATAAAAAAAAAAGTAAGTAAAAAAAAATTACATTGCTTATATATATATAAAGAGAGAGAGAGAGAGAACTACTAGGGGTTATTATTAAAATAAGTAAAAAAAATTTGCATTTTTTTTTTTTTATCTTCCAGGTGGGAAATTCATTTTTCAACTTTGTACTTCAAAGAATCATAAACGTCGATCAAATTACATTTTTAAATTATTTATTATATAAAAAATTAATTAATTAATACACGTGCTCAAACATAACCCTAACAGGTTTGAATAATTTTATATATGTATATATAATTTTTATTTGCAGCTCATAAAAATTATGAAATTATTATTTTTTCATAACTTTTTTATTTATTTTTTATTTTTCCAATAATTAAAATTTCATAACTTTTATGACAACAAAACAACCATTTTCCCTTTTTTTTTTGTGTTTAAAGTAAAATTTTCTTTTTAAAAAAAAAATTCAATAGAGAATATAATGGAAAATTAAAAAGAAAAAATGAGAGAGATGATGATGATGATGTCGTCGAAACGATGGTTAAAAATAATTTCGAAATAATAAGAAGAAAAAAGAAGACATTTTTTTTTTTTTTTTTTCACTGAGGAAAATAATAAAATGGAGGAAGTCTTAGCAGACGACAAACGATAAACGAACCACCACCCATTTTTCCTATGCAAAGGAAAAAGGACTCTTACCGTTTGTATTCATTTTTATTTTTGTCATTTTCATTTTATGATTTTCTTATTATAATAATAATGATAATGATAATGATAATTACGTACCCGTATAACCGTTGCAGGTATTTGTTGTATTTTTACTTTTTGACGACGACGACGACGACGTTAGAGTAGAAAGAAAATCGCGGACTTTTCCTCTCATCGTCCGCCGAGCCCGGCCGTTTTCTTATTACTAAATTTTTTTTTTTTTTTTATCGAGGAGCTTTAACCGGGCGTAACGCCTGCGTAATTCTATATGACAGAAATTTTCCATTTTTTTTTTTTATTTTTTTCCCCTTCGTCGACCGACCTACACCACCCCAGAAAGTATTTCCATCGTTATTTATCGTTTTTGACTATAATACCTTCCCCTCCCTCTCTCTCTCTCTCTCTTGATGTTGTTCACTTAGAAACGTTTTTCAAATTTTCATCACACACGGGATTTTCGCCAATTACGTGTGTGACTGACTATGTTTTTGTACTTTTTCTTGTTTTTCTTTGAGTGTTTTTCCTTTCCTATGAAAATTGTTTTGTTTTGTTTTCATTTGTTAATCGACACATACGTAAACACATTCAATTTTGTTTTTGTCAATTTCAAATATTAATGAATGAATGAATGATTGAATGAATGTATTTTTAATTTTTTTTAATTAGAATAATTTTCTTTTACTTGATTACTTAATTTATTACTTTTCTGTTATTTATTAAGTCCCAATGAAAAATAAAAAAGAAAAAAAAAAAATTTTTTTTATTACTCGTTCATCTGTTTCTTCTTCTTCTTATCATTATTATTATTATCATTATCATTATTATTATTATTATTATTATTATTATTATTATTATTATTATTATTATTATTATTATTATTATTTACGGACGTAAAAGACGCGAGCGATAATTGTAATATAAAAAAAGGGGGAAAATTTTTAACGGTCATTATTTTAATTTGGGTTAAAAAAACATTTTTTTTGTTTTTTACGCGGTCATAAATTATCTAGAAAATTCGAACGACGGAGAGATGATGATGATGATGATG